CATGACATCCTTCTCCAGCGACTGTTCCCTCCTGACAATATGTCCTAGTCTTTTAGGCATGTGATATATATATGTGTGTGTTTTTATGGTTTTACTGTCAATTTAGTGAAAGTTTACAGGGCAGATCATCAGTTTTACATTCAACAAATCATATACCTTATTTCATTACAATGATTATAATCCCCTCCATGTACTATCAGTTGACAATAGTTCTCTCTATTCATTCTAACTCTTTTTTTTTTAAACACTCAGGCATATATAATACTTTACACCGCCAAAGGTCACATTCTGCAAGTCTGTCTCCTGGCTGCCAGCTCTCAGTCTCTCTCTTTCCATGAATCTAGAGTCCTCAGCCTCTTCCCCTCTCCATGTCCCCATTTCTGCCTCCATCTCTGGTGTTGCTGCTTCTCTGAAAAAGGTCCCACATTCCACTTGTTCTTTTCTCCCTGATGGTGCTAGGATCCTTTGTTTCTGGACTGTAAGATTAACTACTCCCCTGTTTTTGTTACAAAACTTCTGTCTTTACAATTGTGACAGTCGCAATTAGTCATGATAACAATTACTCACTATTGAATCATAAGAATCTTATCCCCATCTCTTATAACCAGACCCACCTAGACAAGATGAAAACTATTCATTGGGGACTCTATCTTCTCCCACACACTCTTAAACTAAACTCCCTCTTGAAACCTTGTAAGCCAGTCACTTTGTGCCTTTATTGCCCCCTCATTTTTGGTAGCCAATGTCTAAGTTGCCGGTCCCTATCCACCCTGTGTACAGAGGGGATAGCATTGATACTTGACGTGAAGACTCCTTCCCTCTCTGTTGGTATTTTGAGCTACTATATCCATGATATAGGTCACAACTTGCTTATTATTGTAGTAGATAATCATCTTGCCATTTTTGTTTTGGGTTTTTCTGATGATCTTTCTTTGAAGATGTATCTTTTGTCACTCTAGCTGTTTCAGGCTGATCTGCTTGTCCTTTCTAGTGGGAACGTCCCACCTCAGAAGGTTCTGGATGGGGCTCAGGATTCCACCTAAGATCCTATACACTGCAAAGGCTCTGCAAGAGGCCTATTTCACTGGGCAAGTTGTAGAACCCCTTTTAGGTATTCCAATGAGTTAAAGGCTGAAGACGGGCTTACAAATTTTCTGTAATCATGTTTTCTGAGATTCCTTTCTATCCCACTCATGTATCTATTTTACAAAAGTAGGCAAGGAAACCAATATTCATAAGATAGTCAAGTATCTTAGTATTATTTCCTGTTTTCAGACTATGCCTCGATCTCTGTGTCACAGGGCTCTGTTGTCCCAAGTTTGAGGGTGCATCACTATTTACTTTTGTCACATTTAGTCCATGCAAACCTGTCTCAGTGTTCCCCATCTACTTTGTTCTTCTACCCCTCCCCCTTATTGTGTATCACCCTCCCCAGAACCCGAACTATGATGTGTCTGCCTCCTACCCTGTGTTCTACCGTCACCTCTCTCTACTTCCACCAAACCCACACCCCCCACACACACCTCACTCCCACCAGTAACCAACATAAAGAATTATTTTTTTCCCTTTAGTATAGGTATCTTTCCTTAAGCTTTACACTAATGGTCTTATGTAGTATTTGTCCTTTTGTGACTGACTAACTTCACTCAGCATAATGTCCTCAAGGTCCATCCATGTTATATGGTGGCCTATATCTTCCTCGGTATTCTTCAAGGTAGCATAATATTCCATTGTGTGTGTATACCAAAGTTTGTTTATCCATTCTCCCATTGAAGGGCACTTAGTCTGTCTCCATCTTTTTGCTATTGTGAATAGTGCTGCTATGAACACTGGTGTGCATATATCTACTCGTGTTATGGCTCGTATTTCTTGTGGATATATACCAAGTAGAGGAATTGTTGGATCATATGGTATTTCTATTTCCAGCGCTCTGAGGAAGTGTCATGCTGTTTTCCAGAGTGGTTGGACCATTTTGCATTCCCACCAGCAATGTAGGAGGGTCCCAGTCTCTCCACATCCTCACCAGCATTTATTGTCCTCTGCATTTTTGATCTTTGCTTTCATTGCTGGTGTGAGATGATATCTCATTGTTGTTTTGATTTGCATCTCTCTAATGGCCAAACTTCGTCTCTCATACTTCGGATACATTGTCAGGAGGGACCAGTTGCTGGAGACGAATATCATGTTTGTTAAGGTGGAGGGTCAGAGAAAAAGAGGAAGACCCCCAAGCAAGATGGATTGGCAAAGTGGCAGCATCAGTGGGGTCAAGCATGGCAACAATTGTGAGATTGGCCCAGGACCAGGCAGTGTTTTGTTCTGTTGTGCACTGGGTCTCTATGAGTTGGTACTGACTCGGTGGCACCTAACATCAACAAAAACGGCTAATGATTGTGAACATTTCTTCATATATTTGTTGAATGCCCAAGTGTCTTCCTTGGTGAAGTATCTGTTCATGTTCTGTGTCCATTTTTTAATTGGGTTGCTTGTCTTTTTCTTGTAGAGGTGTTTGTTGTTGTTAGGTGCCATTGAGTTGGTACCGACCCATAGCGACCTTATACACAACAGAACAAAACACTGCCCAATCCTGGGCCAACCTCACTACCATTGCCATATGTAGAGGTGTTGTTGTTGTCAGGTGCCATCGAGTCGGAACCGACTCATAGAGACCCCATGCACAGCAGAACGAAACAATGTCCGATCCTGGGCCA